GAATCTAATAACGGAGTCTCTTTTTATTTCAATTTCATCAATAAAGATTGGAGGCAAGTTTAAGGGTAAAAAAATTTTTTTCCTATTCGAATGAAAAAGAGCCTATTTAGTTTTTTCAGTATTTAATGTTAATTTATTGGATTTGAACCAGTGGGATAAAAGTTTAAGTTCTTTATTCACTGTGGCAAAAAGATCGCTAATATCGCTCTTAGAGATGAACAAATGAGTATCATCAGCAAACATGATGCTCATCAGATTAGTTGTTTTATTTAGATCGTTTATATAAAATAAAAAAAAGAGGGGTCCGAGGATGAACCATGTGGAACTCCACAGGTTATACTTAAACAATTGTTGTGATAGTTGTCATTACCAACAAAAAATTGTTTTCTGTTTGTTAAGTAACTTCTGAACCACCTGAATGCTTGGTTATTTACTCCATAGTATTTCAGTTTTTCGAGTAGAATGTGATGGTCAACCGTATCGAAGGTCTTTGATAGGTCGATAAAGATACCTAATGTATATTTTGATTATTCGAACGATTTTGAAATTTCATTTACAAGTTGGATAATTGCATGCTCTGTTGAGTTATTCTTTTTAAAACCAAATTGATTAACATAGAGTAGGTTATTTTTGTTAAGGTGTTTATATATTCTGTTGCACATAATTCTTTCTAGGATCTTTGAAAATACAGAGAGCACAGAGATGGGGCGATAATTAGTTATTTGGGATTGGCCGCCTTCTTTATAAATAGGTGTAACTTTGGCAATTTTTAATTGTTCTGGAAAAATTCCTTGTTTAATTGAGGCATTAAAAACTTTGAAAAGAACATCTTTTAGTTGCTTAAAGCAATCTATTATCACATTTCCATCTATTTCGCCTGGTCCACATGATTTATTTTTTTAATAGATTTGAGCACCTTTTCAAGTTCTTCAATATATAAATCAGAGGATAGCTCATCAGAGCGTATGCACTTCTCCAAGGGTAATAAAAAGTCACTAAACAAAGTTCTTGTGATAGGAATCTTATTTGATAGTGTAGGACCTATTTCAGTGAAAATTTTATTAAATTCATGTAATATAGCTTTAGGTTCAAACATACTAGTGTTTTCAATTTTAATCATTTGTGGCAGAAAACCATAGCATGATTTTTGTTTTCCTATAATTTCCTTCATTATTTCCCAGATACGCTTAGTGTTATATTTGATGTTGTTAAATAATTCCAAGTAATAATTTTTTTTTCAAGTTTTTACGAATTTTCTCAAATAAATATTTATAGTTTTTGTAAATTTTTTCGTTTGCTATTGTTTTTGTTTTTAGAAAATTAATATATAACTCCTTCTTGATTTTTGAAGATTTTTTAAACCCCTTGGTAATCCAAGGAGAATTCAAACTCTTAGATTTTGCTATTATTTTAACTACGGGAAAGTTGTCGTATACAGAATAGAAAGTTTTGAAGAAAGTTTCATATTGTTGTTTGCATTATTATTTATGTTAATATAGAATATGTGTATACAGAATAGAAAGTTTTGAAGAAAGTTTCATATATGTCGTTTGCATTATTGTTTATGTTAATATCATTCCAATGGAGTAAGGATAGTTGGTCTTTGAATAAATTAAGGTTATTTTGATTAATGATACGTTTTTTCAATACTTTTTTGTTGTCAATGTTTTTTGCTGTATATGTATCAATTGTTTTTTTATACCATTGTTAAAAATATAAGTTGAAATAATATTATCGTTTAAAGTCGCTGAGTTTTTAGTTACTCTGGTGGGGCGATTGATGAGAGGGATCCTGTTTCAAAAAATGTGTCATAAAAACTTTTTACTTTATTCTCATTGTTAAAATCCCTAAGCAAAATATTTTTTTTCTTTTCAGTATCGCCTTTTTAATGATGTTTTGCAAAAACATGCTAAGGTTTTCACTCACACCAGCAGGTGGCCAATAACAGCAGCTAACTAATAAGTTTTTTGTTTGGTTGTTTTCAATTTCAATTGTTAAAACTTCTTTGTCGCTATCAAAAACGCTCAAATCACCTCTAAAAACAAGCCTAAGTGTTTCGTGCGCATAAATTAGTACTCCGCCACCTTGTTTATTAATTTGTCTCTCCAATAAAATTATATTAAAATGCGGAATTTAAAAATTACTAGATCTTTTGATGTAATCCACGTTTCTGTTAAGCATATTATATTAAAAAGGTTTTTCGTTTCTTCTAGCAGATTTAAAAGTTTTTCAAAGTTACTATTTAGACTTCTTATATTGAGGAGGAGAATTCTCATTAGATTCGAATTTTTATCAATAACATTCTTAAAAAGATACTCTTCGAGTTCGCTTGGAAATTATACGAACAAACTGAAAAAGTCTCACAATAAAAATTATTGTCGGGGTCTGAGTTTTCGTCCTGCTCGGTGTAGTTAAGGCGATTTACAAAATAATTGAATACTTTTACTTGGAATTAGATCTTTTTACTACTCGTAACAAGATCTTTAAATATTATAATTTTTTTTTGCTTAAGGTTTTTATAATATTTAAAAAAACTTTTCATTTTTTTAATTAATTATTAAAATCTTTTTACTACCCGTAATAATGTATCTAACAGTGTATCTAAAGAACACTAATTTGGAGTCTTTAGATCAATTCCGCTCATCAACATTAACATGAATTTAGTTTAAAATTTTTAAAAAAGTTCCTTAATTTACTACTGATCTAATCGGTTCTGACGTATAATAACTATATATAGTAGCCAAAACACAACATTTCTATCAATTTTCACAAAAAATACTGAAATTCTGACCAAGAAAGAACTTATAATTATGGAAAATTGACAATAAACGATCAGAACAGATCATATTGTTAAACTATAATGTTCATTTTACCTAAAAAACGTATTAATATAAAATCTTATTTAAGCTTGGACGAGCAGTTGTGATTTTAAGATGATTTAAACATTTATATTTTATTTTTTTTTTTTTTTTTAGTATTGTATTTGCCGATTGAAAATAATTTACACTCGTAATTTATAAAAACAAATATTTACATGACTGGGGCTTGAAGAAGACAAAATTCATCTTATCATTAAGCCCCCAGATATGATACTGCAAAATTTATTATTTCAATTTTTTTCATCTTTTCATAAATCACAGACCAGACTATTTAACGGAAATATGTCGTAGCCAACAAAATATCATACAGACGCTATAATATATTAAAAGTGCCTTAACTACACCAAGTGGGAAAAAAATTCTTTTTCAAAAATATTAAACGCAATAGATTCAAAATTATTTAATGCAGTCATGATTGTTTTATATACGTTTAAAAGGGTTCTTTTTAAAAATGTGAATTAGTTTACTTTTTTCTTTTGTTATCATAAAAAGAATTTAAAAACAAATAATTTTATCATACCAAACCGCAACATTCTCTTCGTTTAAACGTCTTCGTTCAACGTCAGTAAACAATTTTTTCCTGATGGCAACGGTTTCGAGTGAAAAGTCTTCGTTAACGAAAATGTTTGTTCCTTTTATTCGATGTAGTTCTTTCAGTATTTTCACTTTATCTTTATATCGTTGAAGGTTGAGAACTATTGTCCAAGGTTTTCCGTCTTTCTTTTTCCAAGCGCGATGGGCACGCTCAATTTCAATCTTCAACACCAAGTTTTTGTTTGAAAAATAAATTTTTTTTTTTTCTTCTGTTTGTCTCCAAGTTTTTTTTTCGTCTTCGAAACCATCTATTCGCAGGTTATTTCTACGTGAACAATCTTCAAGTTTTCGATGTTTTTCTTTTAAAATTTCATTTTCGATTATTTCCTTTTATAATTGTTTGCTATTGTATTCGATTTTTATATCAACAATTTTTTTGATTTTTATTACATTTTCATTAGCATTGGTTTAAATTTAAACTTTTTTTTTTTTTGACTCAAACATTTCTTTAAACATTTTCTTTATCTCTTGAAGAGTCAATGCCATTTTGATTTAAAAGGATGCTGAATTGATTAAAAGATAAAAAGATATGTATTTATATGTTTATATGTTTTTAAAACTTTTTTTTTTCATTTTCGTTCTCTTCAGTTTAAGCGCTTCAAAAAAAAAAAAAAAATATGCATATATATATATATATATATAAATACACAAAAAAAAAGTTTTCTTTTTCTACCAAAGGGCTTTTTTAATTTCCCAAACAGTCTTAAAGTTTCAGCCCTCGGAATTAGAAAAAATAAGATCGGCAATTTATTTCCAATTTTAGAATAATTTTGGTTGACATTGGTTCAGCACAAAATTTTTAACTCAAAGCTTTCATCATAACAACATAGAAACAAGGAAAACAAAAAATCTCCGACCTCCGACACTTTTAGGTCGGCAGTTATGCTGACGCTAATTGTAAGGGCTTGCAGGTGATACAAAAGTATATTTCTCTTTAACGAGAATCAAAGACCACTACAAAAAAACAAATATTAAAATAACTAAAAAATTAAATATATGATTTAAAACAAATGAGCTACTATATCACTATATATAAAAAGAACTGAAAAAATTTCAGTCGACAAAAAAATAAAATACAACTATAAAAATATAAGGTATATAAGCTCTTATAAAAAATTTTTTTATTTTTTCCTTTCTAGAGTTTAGATTTTATTATTTTGTGACAAAAAAAAAATCTATATGACAAAGCCACTTTGTATTTATTGAAACAGCTTTCATTAAAAAAAAACAGGTGAGTTTGTTATGTATCTTCATATTATCATTTATGTATCTTTTCATTAAATTGTGAAAAAAAAATTAATTTGAGTTTACAAAAGTTCACTTGTTTGTTCATTATTTGTTTATGTTCGTTACTTGTTTTTCATTTACTTGATTTTGTTAGCTTTATTGTTAGTTTTTTACTTATTTTTGTATTTATTTATGTTATATTTATATTTATGTGTTGGTGTTACTTTTAATTTCTTGTTTTTATTTGTTAAATGTTTATTATAAATTTTTATTTTATTACAACTTATCTCTACATAATTTGTGTGCTATTCTTTTTAACATATTTTTACAAATTTTATAAAACGTTTAGCGTTTAAAAAAATGAAAATATTTGTGGTTTTTTTGGTTTTTTCATTGGTTTGTAACGCGCAAGGGTTAGCCAGTGCATTGTGGCCAATTACGGCAACTAAAAAAAAGGTAACAGATTTTTATGTGTTTAAATTGTTTAACTTAACTCAATTGTTGGTGACGATTTTAATTTTTTTTCACTTTATAAATTGCATTTTATTTTAAAAATTTTGTTTAAAATTATTAATGTATTACATCTTTATTATCTTTATAAAAAAAACTTAAAATTGTTTTTGTTGTTATAACCTTTACACAAAAAACCTATTATCTCTATTGCTTTTATCGTTGTAAACTTTACACAAAAAATCTATTATCTCAATCGCTTTTATCGTTGTAAACTTTACACAAAAAATCTATTATCTCTATCGCTTTTATCGTTGTAGAAAAAAAGTTATAATCTTTGTTACAAATACATTCACTCAACACGTAGGATCCTTTCATTCTATGTAGGGTTGAACCATTATATCACCATGTAGGATTCAGTCATTCTGGAATCAACGCAGTATACACCTGTATTACAATCAAAGAAAATTAAAAATCTGTATCGCATCTTAAAAAAGTTAAACCTGTTGTTAAAGTTTGTTGCACTATTTAAATACTCAAATCACTCGAATTGTTACACTGTTTAGGTTTTTCAAAACAGGGGCAATGAGGGAAAGGGGCAATTATAGAAATTATATTTTGCCGTTGAAGAAACGTTACAACCTACATAAATTTACAAATAAAATTAATAAACGGAAAATATTATTTTTGTCTTATTGCCGAGCACCGTTTTTCAATAGGGGTCGTCCATAAATTACGTCACGCAGTTTTTAACCCCCTCCCTCCCCCCCCCCACCCTCGTAACGCATCGGTTACACTTTATTGACTCCCCCCATTATTACGCAACAGTTTTGTACCTCCTCCTCTAATATTTTTTCAAAATGTATTTTTAGGAAGGAAAGGGGTCTATTATTCGTCAATCATGTCTATAATTCTATGAGCTTCTTTGAATTAATTAATTAGTACTTTCCAGTCTGTTTATTGTTTTTTTTTCACCCCAATAGTGCCGTGTAAAGTTGTATAAAATAACATCGCTCTCCTAAACATGATATCAACTTTAAAAACCTGTTCTTCCGATATATAATACATGGAAAATATTATATATATAATATATAATAAATAATAACATACTATACATTTAAGAATATTATTTTATAAACTAATTTTCTTCAAATCAGTATCGTAAGTGTGGCCGAGTGTATTCTGCCTCCGGCTAGGAAACTGAGGGTTCTAGGTTCCCTTCTCGGTGTCGGATAATTCTTTTAATAATTTTTTTTAGTAGTGCACAAAGATTGTTTTTTTGTTGCTGCACACTTTTGTGCACCAACTAAATAAAAGTTCTGCATTTGAGCCGTATAAATTCAAAGCGCAGAACGTGATAAAATATTTTCTTTTGACCTATAAAAAAAAATTTTTAAAGCTCGATTGTCATTTTATTATAAAGTATAATTATATTTAATAACTATACTTTGCAATAAATTTAATTATATATAAAGCCGTAACAGTCCGTTAACAGGCTATAACTACTGCGTTAACGAAGTAGTTATAGCCATATAGAGTGTATATCGACTAAGTAAGATTTAGGCGTAGTTGATTTTACAATCAACATGTAGATACATTAACTAAGTGCTTTGGTTTAGTCAGATACTCTTTTAATTAAAAGAAAGTCTTTTCTTAAAAAAAAAAAAAAATGTTGCGTCACAAAATCGAGACCCCTCCCCATCGTAACAAATCGTCACAAAATTGCCTACCCCTACACCCCTCCCCCCTAAGCGTTACGTAATTTATGAACAACCCCATATATATTTTTTACAAAAAATTTTTCAAATGTATAAATTATAAACTACGAAATATTTATGTTTTTAATATAGGGAAAAGGCGCCTATGATGGCATACTTAACTTTGAAGCTTCATTATTCAGTATCCTGAAGACCAAGAACAAAATATTTGACACAGATGCATTCTTTGTTACATGTAGAACAATAATAACCTCAGGATTTTTTATTAGTTTTATTTTTTTATTAGTTATTTTTATTTTAAAAAAAAGCACAAGCATGCCATCATAGGCAACTACTGCTCCTATGAGCATAGGGGAGGATGGGGCTGGTTAGCATCAAGAGTAACTCGATGATTTCATTTGACCTTAGAGTCTTGCCTCAAAAATGCCAGAAAATACGTAATCATCTTAACTGACCCTTTCGTGCTAGACAGCAGCAGTGTAGGATTTTGCGCATGCGCATAAGAGATATTGCGTTTTATGTGTTTTTTAAACCAAAAATTTTTTACTGAAGTAAAAATTCCTTTTTACTTTACTAATAAATATGTTGTTTTTATGAAAAAAAAAAGGTTTTCTCAACTTGTCAATATTGCAACACACCTAACTCGTCAGTATGCCATCATAGGAAGAAATCATCATTTTTATTTAAACAAGCTATGTCTGCCTTGTTCAGAAGATAAAATTAAAATAAGTATTCCATTAACTGCACAAAACTTAGAAACAAAAAGCATGAAAATTTAATTTCTGCACAGTTAATAATAAAATCACAATCTTAAATATTTAAAGAGATTAAAAGTACAACAGCACATCCCAAAATCAATTTTTGTTGATTATAAAAGCAATATTTGTGCATAAGGGACATATTTTTACTAAAACTAATGTAAATTCAGTATAAAAATGTTGGTCTAATCACTTTTTTGCCATAACCAATATTTATGAAAATATGACCGGTATGCCATTATAGGCGCTATGCCATCATAGGCGCCTTTCCCTTAAACATTAAAATATGATCCTCTTAATAATAGGTAATACCGTATAAAAATGAGATAAAAGAAAAAACAAATATGCAAAAAAACAAACTAAAAAGTTTGAAAAAAATTTAAAAAAATACGATTAGATAATGATTAATGTCTAATTATTTAATTTAGCTTTTGAACTTATAGGGCAGGGCCGACGACACGGGTTTAGAAGTAGGAGGGGAGGGGAAGCTTGCTGTACAGTTTTTTTAACTTAGTGTGATTAGTAATTGCCCATAATTGCCATACGATATTGCCGTAATAATTTCTATGTATAAAAGAAAAATATTAATTTTTTAATGACCTAAAATTTTATGTTTTTGCTCTTTAGATCATGCCAGTTTTGAAATTTTTTTTTCAATGGAGTTGTTGTTATTTCCATGACTTTCATCAAAGTTCATTTCTAAAAAAATAACGGAAGTTTGCCTTTTAATATCAGTTTTATTAATTTGGTGATTAGGTAGAATGAGTGGTATTTCTTTTGATTTGCTTAATTTGTGGAAAAGTAAAAATTTCATTTTTTGAACATTCAAAGACAGTTTGTTGCATATAAACCAATCATTATTTACTTCTTCCTTGATTACTTTAAAAAGTGTTTCAATATTTTTATGAGAATGAATGGCTTCATCTGTAAATAAAATAAAATTTAATAAGTTTGATGTTGAAGATTATGAATGTAGTGTAAGTAAAGTAAAGGTCATAATATAGAACCTCGTGAAACTTTACAAGTTATACTATTTTGTTTTTTTCTATATTATCACATTGTACGTATTGTTTTCTGTTCAACAAAAATCTTTAAATGTAAGTTTGAATCTTTTATTCCATTTTTTTAATTGGAATGGAATGATTTACGGTGTCAAAAGTTTTGACAGATCAATGAAAACTCCTAAAGTAAGACTTCTTTAAAATAAGATCAATGTAAGACTTCTTTAAAGGCATTAGTTAAATGGTTAACTAATTCTACTATTGCGTGTTGAATGTTTTTTTTTGAAGCAAAATTGCTTACTGTACAACTGTATATATCATGTTCAATTAAATAAATATACAGCCTGTTGTACATAAAACGTTCAATTTTAGAAAAAGATGATAAGACAGAATTAGGCCTGTAATTTAAGGGACCTGACTCATCTACAGCCTTAACAAATGAAATTTTAACTTATCCGAAACTATACCCGATTTAAAAGATAGATTAAAAATATGAAATAAGGTTGGTTCAATTATATCATAGACTAATTTTAATACATTGACACTAACTTGAACTGATCTTGCACTTTGGTTATTATAGAATATTATAAAAAAATTATTATATTATAGAATATAATTATATTCTTATTTACCCTTATATTCTTAATTACATAAGAAAAGCGTTATAATATAGACGGTCTTTCCGAAATCTGTTGAAACGTTCTTAGTTATACAATTAAGTCTTCGAGTGCTTTTGGACCAATTCAATAAACGTTAATACAAACGTTTTAAAATAATGACAAAAATTTCAAAGTTTTCAGAATTCTCATTTTACATTAGAAGTGTTTATTGATCTATCAATGGCTTTTGACACAGTCAATCATAAAATATCATTAAAGAAACTAGTATTTTCGCGTATAAAAGATAAAACCTTTTGTTGGTTCAAAACCTCTTTAACTAATTGCATATAGTTTGTTTACAATGAAGTCTCCGCCTCTCAATTACCAATAAACAAAACATGTGGTGTTCCATTTCTTTTCTCAACATTTTTTATAGTCTTTATATATTTTCAAACTTAACCACCATAATTTTTGCAGATGGCGTAAAAGATGGCGCTTGATAAAGATGGCGCAAAAGATGGCGCATGATATCAAAACATGTTTTGATATCATGAAAATATAATTATACTTTACAATAAAATGACAATCGAGCTTTAAAAATTTTTTTTATAGGTCAAAAGAGAATATTTTATCCCTTAACATTCTTAAAATTAAATGGGCACTTTTCATTCGTTTTCAAAAAAACGTAGATTGTTTATTCTAATGCGAATCTATTTATTATCATCAAAAACACGCAGCTGGCGCGATACAGTGGTGTACACAGTTGTGTACAACTGTTGTTGTACACACTTTAAGCCACTTATTAAGTAACTTAAAAGTTTCTTAAAACAGAAATAAATAAAAGTCTCTAATTGAAGAGCTTAGTGCTAAAAGTACTCAAGTCAAAAAAGATGTATGAAGGGCCGTCCCGAAGAGATTTTTAAGAGAGAGAGAGGGGTGGGGGAAGGGTTGATAAAAGCTTCTTTTTTTTGTAATTGTTATGGTAAAAACAAAATAGCAACAGCGCGTACCAAACTAAGCTCCAATTTTGTTGAATTATATTGTTACTAGGTTACTGAGTTACATTTGAGTTATGTATAAATATGAAACATGTTTAACTTGTTTAGTAAACGTTTTATATCAAATAAATGTTTTAATTTGTTTTTTGAGGTTGCTTCCTGCTAATCTAAATTTGTTTTTTGAAATAATATGCTTATTACAAACAAGATCTGGCGATTTCGTTTAGTTTTAGTTTTTACAATTAGGGTAAACTGGGAGGTCGGGTCAACTGGGAGTTAGGATCAAAGAGTAGTTAAAATATTACTATTAAAGTAATATTAAACTAAAAATTTATGAATAAAATTAAAAACAGAATAAGAATTAATTATTAAGAATAATTGTTTGGAACAAAACCGCTATTAGAACCAATTTTCATCATGCTTAGAAAAAGTCTCAAATGTTTACCAAGGACCAAGCAAAGTCTTTGTTACAGCTACAAGCTATGTCACAATGTTGTTGCAGTCTCTTGTCACAATGCTGTTGCAGTCTCTTGACACAAATATGAATCACAACTGTTATTCATTGAGATTCAAACCTCAATTGTCAAGTTTTTTTAATACTAAGCTTAAGACCGTTTTTATGGTATATATCTGCCTAAATTTTATAGAGCTATGTGAGAATTTAACTTTTATTTAGGCTTTTTTGTTTGTTTTTTTAGTATATTTTAATGGAAAATGTTTGGAAAAAATAACAATAATAATATTAATAATAATAATAATAATAATAATAATAATAATAATAATAATAATAATAACAATAATAAGAGTAATAGTAATAATAATACAAACGCTTTGATGACGCTTTGATGACGCTTCTGGGTCTTTGATGAGAAACTGATTAATAAACGTTAGATCATCAAAAATAAAATTTAAGCAGAACAAAATAACATTATTAAAAGACGCATAAAATCATTTGTTTGTTGGTTGCGGATACTCAGAGACGCACAAAATCATTCGTTTGTTAGTTGCGGATATTCAGAGCCGCATAAAATCATTCGTTTGTTGGTTGCGGATATGATCCACTTCTGCAAATAATTGTTTTATTATAAAGAATAAAGCCTTTTTTTTTTGTTTATTAAGGTTCTTTTAGGAATCCTATATGGTTTGTCTAAAAGCATTGCAGAAGGGCATTTAACTGAGAAGATTACTCCGCCTTTTTTTTGAATTCTAACATTATCAATAAAATGAACAATTGTGAACTTACAGAAAAAAAACTGTTTGGCAGAAAAAAAACTGTTTTACAGGAGTTTGTGAACTTGCTTCACAAACTTCTTGAAGAAAACTTGCATCACAACCATTAATGTTTACGTCATAGATTTAAGCAACTTTTTTTATTTGGTTAATAACATTTTTTCATACAAAACGTGTAGACAAAATTTCTAACATCATAAAACTTAAATTGGAATTTTAAAGTCTTTTTTGTTCCCCTATATTAACAATGCTATAACTGACAAAAGGTAGAAAATGTGTGTGCAGGGGAAATATTATAAAGGAAATTTCAGAAATAATAAAGACATAAAAAAATGATTTAGGGTTTAAGACAGAAATTTCTGAAGAAGTTTTTTAAAGCAAAGCATTATTTAGAATTAATAAAATTAAAAACTCTTTCTTTAAATAGAATTTTTTTTTACAAAGTAATTATGTTATGTTTATACATTAAATTTTTAACATTATGACATAATCTAAAAGTAAATTTTTATTTCTTTCTTTCGTTAAATCAAAAAATTCTAGTCTCTTCATTTAAGTTGGCTCTTAAACAATGAAAAATCAGTATGAAAAATCAATTCTATGATTGTGATGCCTTAAATGCATTAAGTGATGGTTGTTGTTCTATCCTAACTAGTGTTAAAAAATATTTTTTCAATACTTTAATGTTGCAAAAGACAAATGAGTTTTTTTTTTTGTGAGTAAGCTGTTCCTAATTTCAAGTTTTGAGTTTCAGGATTCCGTTTTGAGATCCAGAATAAAATCCAAAAACTAACAGCAAGTCTTTCTAGTTTTTTTCCATTTTTGCCAGAATGTCCCCACCCCAGTGAAAAAGTAAATGCTCTAATGGGGCAAATTTCCCCCTGATCTGTAGTACTACTTTTTGTCTAAATTCCCACAGTTGGTTCAAGAGATCAAGATATATATCATCCTTTAAGATAAGACAGACGAAAGAAATGTTTGGGTAATTATTAGCTTGATCAGCTGCTGCAGCAATTTCAGGATAATTAAAAATGTTTCTTGGATAAGCCAAAGAAACAATTTTAGATTTCCTTGAATGTGGAAGTTGGAAGAAAGTCTTGTGAATCATTTTCTTCTGAATTTTTAGATAAAGCATCTTATTGGCGCTCTTTCCTTTTTGCTCTCTGAATTTGAGGAAGCTTATTTCTGATCATTTTTTTTACCACTTATTAGTTCCTGCTCCCAAATACATTTTTCTATTTAATCTTTTACCCAGAACCTTTAACCAATTGAGCATATCTACTTGCATTGAGACAACAGATCGAACTTGATCACTTTGATTTTTTTTTAGTAGAAGTGTCACAAAGCTTAACCATTTTTACTTTGAAGTCTTTGCTAATTCTGAAGGTAAAGCCATCTCTAACAAGCAGTAGAGCTTATTATTGATGGCTTTATCTTCATCAAAAATAAATACAAAATAATACAAAATAAGCTTTGAGATTTTGAATTTTCAAATGTCTCAAAAGGAATTATTGGTAGGATTAAAAGATTGTTTCAAGAAAATCACTAAATTAGATCTAAATTGTCATATGCTTCCCAAGTGGGTGACAAACTGGCTATCACTTATTTTTTTAACACTTATTTTTTTACCACTTATTTTTTTAGGAACAAAACTCTACAGATTTTTCTAAAACCTTCTTTTTTTTAGTTTAGTTTTTTTTAGGTTTTTCTAGGATGAAAAACTTTCAAAATCTTTCCAGAACTTTCCATTATCTTCCAGAACATTATAACATCTTCCATGAAGTTCCTAAATATTTTTGCGTTTAAAAATTTTTGAAAGTTTTAGAATGTTCTAGAAAATTTTTGAATGTTATGGTAGGTCTCAAAATGCTCGATAATTTTACGTCATGCTCTTAAATAAGAATATTATAGATCTTCCTTAAATAAAATGGAGCATTTTACAATCTTATACACTGTAAAGGAATATTCCAGGGTATTTTGGAAACTTGTTTAGAACCTTACCGAATTTTCTGAATTTTTTTTGAAGCCTTCTAAGTTTAATCAAATAAAAGTTTATGTTATGTGATGTTATTAACTCAATGTTGTTATAACTCTATATATTCTATCGTTTTTACATAGGAAATCGTTAACGATTTGCAATTTAAAAGCAAAGAGCAAGGTGAACCAATTAAAGTCACAAACAATATTGAAGAAAACAAAATAAAAGCAATCAAAGATATGAAGAATGACCATGAAGGAAATAACGAGGCTGCTAATGAAGTTAAAAAATTACTTCATAAACTCCGAAAGTAAATTTTGGTTAATATACGATTTATAAATAAAGTGTGATAACAAAGTATTGAAATAAACATATTATATTTTTTTTGCACATAGTGATTTTATGTTTTTTCTATTTTTTTTTTATTATTTTACATCAAAACACCATAATCTATATCAAGCGGTGGCGGTACTGCAGTCAAACTCTTGATTCGTAAGCACATAGTACGGATTTATTTGCACCACGTCCCCTACATGCAACGCGCTCAACTTAATTCTCCATGGAATGGTCTTGTTTATCAAAGTTCGTATTTTGAAGTCATAGGGTTGAAAAAGGGGTGTAAAGATAATTAAGTAGAAATATATATATATATATATATATATATATATATATATATATATATATATATATATATATATATATATATATATATATATATATATATATATATATATATATATATATATATATATATATATATATAGCTTCTTTCTTACTTACGTAAAAATGTAAACAACGGAGTCCAAAATTTAATTTTCACAAACTGCCCGTTTTCTAGTTTAATTCCGCCATGTAAAGGTGAACATTGGAACCTCTATATTTCAAGAGCTTCGCGCAGTTTTCGATCAAACGTTTTTGTTTTAACTTTAATTGTTCTTACATTTTCCCACTTTATTTCTTGTGAGCAAAACTTATTATGGGTGGCTATTGCAGACTGATAATGTTTCCCCTCGTTTAAACTGTTTAGATGTTGTTGAGTAATTTGAAGTTTATGTTAGAGCAATTGCATTCAATCAAATAAGTTCCGGGTTTACTATTATTATGTGGCAATTTAGTTTGTTTTTTTTTGCGTTGGTAATGCTCTTAAATTTGTGTTTGATATGGAGACTACTCTATAGCCAGCTTTCCGAAGTATTTTACTTAGTTTCGGGGATAGTGATGGTAACAACACAGAGGGAAGTCTGATTGATTTTTTTTGATTTTTAAGGACTGTTTATTTCTAATTAAGTTTGCAATTTGTTTAAGTTGGCATATGTTGTACTAATTTTTGTTAAACTTTTGAATAAAGAAATTTAATCTTATCTCGTAAATATAATTTATTGCATATAAAATAAGCCCTGTGAATGTAACCTTTAAATATTGTGTTTAGAATCTTAGGGTCATGATTTAAGTGAGGTTTAATTTGGATATTAGTAATGACTTCCTTTCTGTAAACTTTAATTTCGTATTTTCCTTTGTTGTTATTTATTATGGTTAAATCGATGAAGTTTAGAGTTCTAATTTAGAGTTCTAAGATCACTGATAGTGATCTAAAAGTAGAAGAATTAGAAATAACAGTTAAATCAATTAAAAAGAACAAGGCTTCAGGTATTGACAGTATTTCTAGTAATGCTGTACTTTACGTTTTTTCTGTTATAAAAAAGCCTATTTTAAACATCTTTAACTCGTCAATTATAATAGAGGTTGTTTCTGACAAATTGAAAAAAAAAAGCTGGAGATACATCTAATTTAAGTTATTATAGACCAATTTCAATTCTTCCTGTATTTTCTAAACTCCTTGAATGAATAATTTACAACAGAGTCTATAAATATCTAATAGAATACAAAATTTTAAGTGTCAATCAATACGGCTTTCAAACACAACATTCAACCGATCATGCCATCTTAGACCTTGTTAACAACATTAGCACATCTTTCGAAAGTCAGAAATTTTTATTAGGAATCTTTATCGATCTGACAAAGGCATTCAACACAGTAGACCATACAATACTACTGAAAAAAATGGAAAAGTATGGCATTAAAAATCAAACCATAAAATGGTTCTCAAACTACCTACATAATAGACAACAATGTGTTATTATGGATCACATTAACAATTCAAAGCAGTTACAAATAAGATGTGGTGTCCCTTAAGGATCTACTTTAGCTCCGCTTCTATTCCTAATCTACATTAACGACCTTCCTAAAGTCTCATCCAAATTAGATTGCATAATTTTTGCAGATGATATCAATATGTTTTATTCTTCAAATTCTATCAACGACCTCTTTTTAAGCGTAAACTTAGAGCTACAAAAACTTAACTCATGGTTCAGAGCTAATAAGTTGTCATTAAAATCTAACAAAACCAAATTTTTTTTTCACCCCACCAATAAAAAAAAATCAATACCATCAACCTTACCTGTTCTCAGCAATTATTTACAACTCAATTGTTGAAAGAACTCATTCATCTAAATTTCTTGGTGTACTTGTCGATGAGAACTTATCTTGGAATTCTCATATAAACGCTATTAATACAAAAATATCTAAAAACATTGGTCTACTTTTTAAAGGAAGACCTTTTTTGTCTTACGATAATTTAAAATTACTTTATTTTTCATTTATACACTGCTATCTATCATACGCCAATATTGCATAGGCTAGTACCCATAAAAGTAAGCTAATTTCACTACAACGACGACAGAAACATACTTTTAGAATGATATTTTATAAAGATAAGTTTACTCATGCAAGTCCATTACTTAAACAGATGTAGTCCATTACTTAAACAAATGCTTTAAACATTTACCAAATCAACATATATCAAAATATATTGTTTATGTTCAAACATAGAATGGGAATCGTCCCAAGTCAATACAAAAACAACTTTTTTAATACTAATATAAATAAATTTAGTACTAGAGCAAATTTAGTAAATAAAGTTATAAAAAAACGTTTTTTTAAACCATCAAATATTGAGTTTTTCAAAAATCAGCTCTCATTATTACATTGGAAACACTTAAATTTTAATGAAAACGCAAACAACCTTTATGAAAAGTTCTTTGAAACATTCACCTTTGTTTACGAATCTAATTTCCCATTGTTACAATTACATTAAAAATAAAACATTTTGATAATACCTGGATTACCAAAGGATTCAAAAATTTAGTACTAGAGCAACTGGAAACTATATTGTGCTTATGAAAAAACAAAACTCTCCGAATTTTCTGCAGCTTATCGTGGTCCTTACTTATATAACAAATTAATTCCAAAAAATTCACTAGGTTTTCTTGAAGAAAATATTAATTTCTTAAAAACCAAATTAAAAAAACTCATTCTAGAAATAAATAATTACATGGAAATATTCTAATTTATTATGAATAATTATAAAAATAATAATGTAAAAAAAAAAAAAAAAAAAAAATAACAGGAAAAACTTAAAAAAAAAGTAAACTTAACTTGTTAATAGTATTTTTAACAATAATATAGTATTTCATGAAATTAATAATAAGGGTTCTCGATGACAAGACTTACGCAGTTTTCTGCGATTTTTCCCCTGACTACAAAATTTAAGCTAACTTATTTTTATCCCGTTTCTTTTTCACAATACAGTTTGTAATATTACTTTAATTTCCTTACCTCAAACATATCTCAAGTATTTTAATGTCTCTAGTTATATAAGAAGTATTTTTTTGAATGTGTTTGTTGTAATATATTATGTATTGTAACACTAACCTAAAAAATATAACATAATAGAATACATCAACTATTGGCACTCCTAATTATGGAATTTCGAACTACTTTGTCAAGAAAATACAACCTGTCTTAAAGAAAAACATAACACGTTTTAAAAATTCTTTTGATTTCATTTGTAAAGCTAAAATTCTTGGGAGATTGACAAAAACAAGGTTCAAGTTTCATTTGATGTAATAAATTTGTATCCATCAATACTGAGGAAGGTACTTTAATTTTTATAGACCACTTAAGTAAAGATGATTCTCACAAATATTCTACCTAACTTACTTATTTGAAACAAGACAACTCATAGTACTTTGTTTACACCGTTGTTATTTCCTGTGGAATAACGAAATCCATGAACTTGAGAATTCTGGTCCTATAGGTCTTTTATTCATGGTCGTACTTGCAGAATCATTTTTACAACATCATGATTTTTTGTATAATTTTTACGAGCTGATGATGCTGGTAACCATAATCCAGTGAAAATTTCAAATAATAAATTATTAATTGTATTAAGAGAATTCGTATTAATTGATGTTTTTTTACTTATATATATATATATATATATATATATATATATATATATATATATATATATATATATATATATATATATATATATATATATATATATATATATATATATATATATATATATATATATATATAACAATAGGTTGGAGCGATTTTAAAAATATTAAAAATTAGATTTGCCGTAGTTGCTAATCATTGTCATTAGGTGAAAAAAGTTAACCCTACTTTTTTTTTTTTAGATAAGTGCTTGAGATTCTTCTAGGATCTAACTTTTTTTTTTGCCGGATTCTAATAAAAACTTGGAAATTGAAGGAAAAAGAAGAACCGGAATAAAAAAGAAAGAAGAAGAAGAATATGAAAGAAAGAAAAAGAAGATAAAGAAAGAGAGATAAAAAAAATAAGAAAAAGCGGAAGAAATTTCTTGTTTTAAAAATATTAATTTAATTTAATAAAAATTTTTTGATAAAAAAAACTTACTCAAAAAAAGTTGGTTTATTGCAATTTTTGTTGTATACTAAGCGGCAATAGTGACATCATAAATATGTCACTTTCATTACCATTAGGTTTTAATTATTGATACCTAATTTTATGTTTGTCTAGCAATTGCTATTATTTTCTAGAGCATTTTTAAGAATTTGCCTTTTTTTGAGCGGAACTTCTTAGTTGAAATTTATAACTGCCAAAACTGCTTGCTTTGATCATTTTAGTGGTCGTTTTAACATTTTAGAGTTCGTATTAACATTTTAACGGTCGTGCTTACATTTTAGCGGTCGCGTTTACATTTTAGCGATTTTTTTGAATAGTAAACTTTTTTTTTAAAGAAAACCTAAACTCTAGTATTAAAAGTTCTATACAGTTTTTTAAGGATATTTTTGTAGTTGATGGAGCAAATTTCATCTATTTATCAACTTGATGTAAACATCGAACATATGTCTTTAGAGGATAAGTACAGGCGTTTTGTGATCAAAGAATACTGGAATAGCTTAAAAATTGGTTTGTTCTTGTAAGAAAGTCTTCAATGCTATTAATTTATTTAACAATACTGGTTTATTAAGCAACAAAAACGCAATTCTAGAGAACGAAAAA